TTTATTTTTGTATAACTCCTTGGCAAATAAAAATCAGCAGTTATTGGACTGGAGATTTGCATAGGTAAGTTGTTGTTGTTGTTGTTGTTGTTTTTTGTGTGTGTGACTACTCTTTTCTGCATTGCACACAGTCACACATGTCATTCAAATAATATCTAATAAGTCATTTTAATTACATCATAAAAGGGGCTTATTACAGAAGAAAGGAGACCCACAAACCAAATCATCATTATGTATGAACATGTTCTCACATTCACTTCCCAAATTCTAAGAGATCTTTGTCATTGCATTAGGACTTTATACAAGACTTAATTCTGGACAGAACCATTAATGGTCTTAACTACTGATGCAGTAACTTGGTTGCAATTTTCAGTCAACTTAAAGTTAGAAACATGACTGAGTGTGACAAACATTTCATTTGGCTTTCCTGGTAATTAACCTTTTTCTCCTGTCACTTACTGACAGCACACCCCAATCCCTTGCTTGTTCCCTTGGGGGGGCTTAAGAGAGATCACCCCTGCCCTGGACCTCGGCCCTCACCTCAACTAAGTTTTCGGGGTCTTTTCTTCTTCTTTCCTTTTCCTTCTCTTTTTTCATCCTCTTCTGTCCACTTATCCAAATCATTAACTCTAACTCTAACTTTTGCTACAATACCACAAGGCTGTGTGATTTTCGATGTCTGGAACATTTGTTTGTTTTTTATCATTGACCATTCTGGATATCCACAAACATCACCTTACTAAACCAAAAAACTTTCTTAGAAACCCCACCCTATCGCTATATTTTATATACATCACTAATGACCTTCAATATTGGCATGTCAGAAATTTTTCAGATAAATAATACTGACAGCACACATCCTCACATTTTGCCAAGCACTTCTTGACAGGCACTCTGGTGAAATTAACAAACAAATCAAGAGTACCTGTGCTTGTTTGAAGTCACCAGTTAAGGCTGTCTGCCTGGTAGTTTGCTGCCAGGCATAAATATGTAAATAAATAGTAAATGGGCGAAGTTCACCAGGCATTGTTCAATCATGTGGATAAGCTCTAAAACATATAGCCAAGCCTATACAGCTTACTCACATAAGCCCCAGCTCTTTTTTGGCTAGGATATTGACTGGTGTAAATGTGCTGTGTTTGTGTTCACAGTTTATAATCTGTGGACTGAGGCCCACTATTTGGGATTGCCCCTACCTTTGGCCTTGGCCCTCGGTTCAACCAAATTTGTATGATCTTTTTTTCTCCCCCTTTCCTTTTCCTTCTCTTCTCCAATTCTTCCCCCCCAATCCCTTGCCCGTTGTTGTCGTGGGGGGGCTTAGGAGGCGGAGACTGGGACCCAATGATGGGGAACTCCCCAACCTTGGGACTCAGCCCTCGACTCAACTAATTATGCATGGTCTTTTTTTCCCTTCCCACTTTTGTTTCTGTCCCTTCACCAAACCCTTCTGCTATCCACCTCCTAAGGTGTGAGAGCCGTGCTGAAAGGATGAAAGGCTGACTTTGTGCCAGTCCTGAACGGCCTGAGGGAGCCATGGGCACGGTATTCCCCTGATTTAGTTATCTAGCCCTTACCCCTCAAGGGGACCCTGAGGGGTGGACTGCTTTTATCCCCAACATAATCCAGGCTTCCCATGGCCAGTAATGAAAATATATCACCACTGTTAGGGGCAATGAGGCTTGCCCCTTTATCAAATAGCCCCAACGAAGTAAACCCACCCGATTCCCCGACCCCAGGCTCTCCTTTGACCACGGCTCCAAACACTGCAATAACTACCCCTTCACCAATGCCTACTAGTACAGTAGCCAACAATCAACCCTCAAGGGACATTTCCACTCTCCCAGCATGCCCAACTTCAACACCTCTACCCCCACAACCTCCAACATCAACCACCCCATCCTCCCTTATTAATACCTTACAGCCTTATAGCCCACCTCTCCATAACACTACCTCCATCAACACTACTCCATCTTCGTCACGCCCTCGCCCTTCTACCACCCCTATCTCTAAAACAATCTTGAATACTCTCTTCAGTGGAGCCAAATGGGACCGATTTTTCGTGATCCCTCCCACAGCTCCCTACTCTAACAACACCCTTCTCTTCCAACAATGCCTCCAAAAACAAGTAGGTAAAGTCTCTTTCCGTAGCCGACCCGACCGCTCCCGTCTTGTAACAGTAACATCCGAAAACCAAGCCATAGCACTAACAAAACTAACTGACCTATATGGTAACCCCATCCTAGCAGAACCCCATCCAACCCTCAATACTTGCACCGGAACAGTCTCAATCTCCCCAGCAAATTGCCCAATCTATGACAAAGAATGGTCAGATTGTGGAGAAGATCTACTTGCCTGTCTCACAGACTACGATGCAACATCAGTACAATGCTATTCCATCCCCCCCAGAGGTCATCGAAAGAAACCCACTAACATAGCCAAAATTACCTTCCGTAGACATGACCTTCCCTTTAACGTCTACATAGGAGGAGAATCCCTCCCTGTTCGTCCATACCAACCTCCTCCACGTCAGTGCCAAAATTGTTGGCGTCTAGGACACCCAGCCAAACACTGCCGTTCCACAGCCAGATGCCCATTATGTGCCCAACCTGGCCATACCCGATCTAACTGCTCTGCACAATCACGCACATGTGCCAACTGTGGCGGCCCCCATAATGTATTTTATAGGGGCTGTCCCACCTACAAATTTGAATCTGAGGTAGCAACTCTCAGATTCAAACTCGGACTCACACTGCGTGAAGCCAGACAGGAAGCACGTCGACGTGGATTCTCTCTTACTCCTTACTCCAGTAATACTGCTCATCCTAACACTTCTCCTAAACCCACCCCTCCTACATCTAACCCCCCCACTAACCCCACCTACCTTCCCCAGTCAAACTCTTTTGCCATCCTAAATCCAGAAACTCCAATCTCTACTACAGATACTCCAATCACCACTACAACCCCAACACCTTCCCCTCTCCCTCCTCGCACTCCCCGTAACAGACAGAACAAACGTTCCACCCCCTCTTCCCCTACCACACAATCACCCCCACCATCCTTTGCCCGTACTCTTGAGACACCAGTCCTCTCTTCCCCCCCTCACAAGAAATCCTTTATCCCCCAAAACTCCCCAACCAACTCCACAGAAGAAACTATTGAAAATATTCAAGATTACTTAATGAAAACCGACACTCAACCTACAACTCCTGCTCCTTCCACACTCCAAGTAATTGCTGATATCCATCCTCCTCCTAACGATATCCCCCCTACACCCTACCCTCCTACCCCCTCCCAACACAGCCCATTCCCCCTGACCCCAACCCTGCCCACATTAACTCTCCCACCATCCCCTCTATCCCTTCCACTCCCTCCTGGATACACACGTGAATCCCTTATGTCACAAGTATCCCCTTCCTCAGACCCTCCATCTCCTAATACCCCTCCTGATAGAACACCAACTCCCACACCTCTCCCATCTCAAACCTCTCAGTCCTTATCCCACCCTCTAGCTACTTCCCCTTCAAATTCTCCAACACGTACTACAATCTATATCACTAAATCAACGAAAGTATAACTATCCTTCATTGGAATATTCGCGGTTTCCGCTCCCACAGACCTGACCATCATATCCTTTCCTCTTATAACCCATCTATTGTATGCCTTCAAGAAACCTTTCTTATGCATACCCTTTATCTAATATAACACCCGACCTTAACCCTTTCACTCACTAATTCCTTTGCCCAGCTTAGACAACTAATCACTAACTCAACCACCCTTCACTAACATTAACTATAGTGCTACATGACCTTAGATGTCTAGCACATTTATCTTGCTTTTAACCATTAACCATTAACCATTCTCCAATTCTTCTGAAAGGATAAAGGGTCGATGGGAATCCCGAAAATACAGTCCCATGGTGTCAGGGAGCCATGGACACTGTATTCCCTTCTTTAATTATCTAGCTTTATCCCTCATTAGGACCCTGAGGAATAGACTATTTCTCTTCCCCACATATTTCAGGCTCAACATGGCCAATGAAGAATTTGTACCCTTATTAGGGGCATTGTGGCTTGCCCTTTCACCAACTAGCCTATTGGAAATTCCTTGACCCCTGGCTCACCTCTGACCATTGTTACTGCTACCCTTTCTTCACGCTTGCTGTCAACTAGATCCATTGCCAATCAACCACCCAGGTCATTACTCAGCCTTCAGAATACATCCCTTCCTCTCTCCCAGCATCCCCCACTCCATCTCCTGCATAGTCTTCTTTACCTGCTCACAGTCTACTTCACCCCACCTGTCCTCATCCTTCTCCTACTTCAAATTCTACAAACTTTTTGAGTACTATTTTCATCCCAGCCAAGTGAGCTTGCTTTTTTGTGATTCCCCTCGCAGCCCGTTACTCTGACAATACACTAATGCTCCAATAATATCTCAAAATGTGTAAGCAAACTTTCCTTCTGTAGCCTTTCAATTGTTCACACCTTGTAAATAGTTACATCTGAATCCCAAGATCCTGCATTATCTACACTGACTGACCCCACTGACAAACCTATTCTTACTCAGCCTTACTTCTCCCTTAATACTTATATTGTCGACAATAATGTTGTATCATTACAGTGCTACACTATTTCTCCCAGAGGCTGCTGTAAGTCCTACTTGAATATTGCCTTCCATAGACATGAACTCCTCCATGATGTTTATGTCTGATCATATTGACCCCTCCCCCTTCAAAGTCAGAAATGTTGGTATTTGGGCCAACCTGCCAAAACACTGTCACTCCACACTGCCTCATATGTACCCAACCTGCAAGTCTTTGGTGGCAAACTCAGCCTCACTACACAAAGCCAAACAGGAAGCATACCAATGAGGATTTTCCTCTTCCCTTTGCTCTGCAACTCTTCGTTTTCTCCAAGGGGAGATATTGGAATCATC